CATACAAAAAAAAAAAAAAGTGTTCGTCCCTTACGCCCAATGATGACCTCCTTTTACCTCCCTCCCTCACACCCCTCCTCCCCCCCCCCCCCCACCCCCTACCCTCCTTCCCCTCTCTTCCTCTTCCTCTTCCTCTTCCCCTTCCTCTTCCCCTTCCCCTTCTCCTCCCACCATGTTCGCTCATTACACCCATGAGTGGTTGTTGAGATTTGTTTCCCAAGGTTCATGAGAAGAGACAAGACCTTTCTTCCGAAAACACCATGGAGATCACAGACATGGACGAATAGGGAAGGAGGAGAGAGGAGAGAGGAGAAAGGAGTATCAGTGAGGGAGGAGGAAGAAGAAAGGAGGAGGCAAGGTGTAGATATGTAGATACTGATAGATCTGTTGACTATTCCTAGACAAATGTTTTAACGCACAGGCGAGCTTGATGTAATAATAACAAACGAGGGAAATGCGATGTGAAGAGGGCGGTAAGAGGAGGAAACAGCGGAGTGACAATGGAAGAGGGAGAGGGAAGGGTAGCGCACGGGACAGAAAGTGATTTTCACAGAGGAAAGCTGGAGAGTATGAAGCAGCAGGAGGAGCAGTGGTGAGTAAGAGAGGAGGAGCAGGAGCAGGGAGGAGAGAAGGAGCATCAGCTGCCGCATCGCACGAACTCGATCCTCCATCTCCTCCTCCGAATTTGGAGGAGGTTTACATAGAATTGAACAAGTCATCGAAACATGATCAGTTACATCACAACTCACTCAGATCTCTCTCTCAATTTCTTTGCTAAGGGGGATCCAATGGCGTTGCTCACTTCACCGCAATCTACAAGACGATATGCGGTCTACCATGAAAAGAATGATTGCTGACTGGACGAAGGGATGGCTGTACGACCAGCAGAGCTTCGAGTTGGTAAGGCAGCATCTCAACCCGTCGACGGGGCAGCGAACGCACTTGTTTGCTGCCGATGGCATGTCCAGGCTGATGGGCTGCAGATGGAGGAGCTGCTAAGCAGGATAGCCAGCAGAGAACTGCGACTACCCATGACGGAGTTTACCTACCTGTGCTACGTCATGTACAGCACCTGGTCTTTACCTACCTGTGCTACGTCATGTACAGCACCTGGTCCTTCGCAGTCAGACCTGGGCAGCCGATGACGGGGGCAGGGCGAAGTAGAGCGATGAAGACCGTCTTCATCCCGGTGAGTCGGGGAGACGCCCAAAGTGGAGGGACTTTGCCGGGGACTGGGGGAGAGAGCTTGAGCGTACCGGTCTGACAAGGTGTGCTTGCTGGAGGGCAGGTGGACCGGTGGGAGTACAAGTCAGCTGTGGAGCCGTCGGGGGCGTCGAGTACGAGAAGACAGAGGCACTTGAGCGCTGGACGAGACTAGGACAGAGAAAGCAGAGGCGTCGCAAGGGGGAGGGGGGAGATGAGAGGCCCAGCTGCATGCAGCGGTTGTAGTCAAGCACGTCAAGCACAGACAGCAGCACTCCTTCTCTCCATGCACATCCCCTGATGATTGCTGCTGGGCCCTCCGACGGGTCGACACGAGCAAGACAGGACGATCACGTAAGGAGGAGGAGGAGGAGGAGGAGGAGGAGGAGAGTATTCGAGCGCGCACCCTGCTTCCTCTACCCCCAAGGAAGGCGTGTACTGGAAGCAGAAGGTTGATGCAAGGGGAGGAGGGAAAACTTGCAAGAGGAGGAAAAAAAGTGGGTGGACAGAGAAATCGATGATAGTAACAATGACTAGGCAAGAGTCAGACTGCTGTAGGGAAGGAGGTGAGAAGGCAAGGACAGGACAGGAAAGGAGGGTGGGTAGTGGAGAAGGAGAAGGAGAGAGAAGAAGAGAGGAATCGGATGAAATCTGTGGAGACTGAAGGATAATAGGAAAACGAGAGCAGCATGCAGCAACAAAGTCTGTTTCCAGTAATGAATAACAAGAAAGCAGAAGAAGTTGCTAAGTTGATGTCTCTTCAACGATTGCACGACGACGTGAAGAATGGCGGTGGGAGAAGGAGAAGAGCGGAGGCAGAAAAGAGGGGGAGAGGGAAAAGGGGCCAAAGGGAATAGAAAGTGATTTGTACAGAGGAAGAATGTAGAGGAGAAGGAGAAGGAGCGAATTGAGAGGAGCGAGGAGCAGGAGCAGATCGAGAAAGACAGCAAGAGCAGGAGCAGGGAGGAGAGGAGAAGCAGGAGCAGGCAAGAGAGCAGGAGCAGGTATCGTCATGAGTCAGCAAGGAAAACGAGGATGTTGGGCAGGAGCTCCTCCGGCTCCTTCGCTCCGTCAACGTGTAGGACCTGCTGAGCGGTCAGGAGGAGCTGTCAAGAGGAAGGAGGAAGGAGGAAGGAGGCTGATAGGAGCAGGAGGGAGGAGGGAGGCTGGTAGGGGAGGAGAGGAACACGGGAGTGAGGGAAGACGGAGACAGCAGGAAGGGAGCTGCGAAACTTGCATGTTCGAAATGGTCAGCCACGTCCTCGTTTTCCTCCCGGTACTGGTTGAGCCTGCTCCTACCCGTCAGCTGCCGCATGGCACGATGAGCGAGCTTGCCTTTGCCGCACTCGATCCTCCATGTCGTCCCTCCTCTGCACCAGCCTAGCGCACGAAGAAATCAGGTGGAAGGAGGGAGGAGGGAGGAGGGAGGAAGGGAGGAGAGGAGGAAGGAGGAAGGAGGGGAGGAACGCGTTCTAAAGGCATGAAGGAAAGAAATGGTGAGGAAGGTACATCAGGGAGAAGAAGGAATGAACAGCATAGTCGAAGAAGACGAACGAGGAGGAGGGAGGAGTTGGAGGAGGAGAGAAGAAGAGTAGGAGGGGAAGAAAAGGAAGAGGAAGGAGCACAGCGCGGGGAGGGCAGGAGTATGAGTCTTCAAGGACCTGTCAAGAATGTCCGGAGGAG